GACCATTATCTGCTTTGCTATTTACGAAAGCTTAAAAAAGCACTTAAAGGAAGTCCAGCTGCCCCCTTCTCCTACTAATGGGACTGAAAGGAACTCCACAAACTTCTTTGGACTGATGTTTGCTGCTGCTGTTTCCAAGGGCTGTGCCTCTTGCATTGCTTATCCACACGGTATGTTAACTTTTCCATTTATGAGTGCAGTAGAACAGCTGTTGCCTCTAGCTTGAGCTGAATGATGAGCTATAGGGCTGTAAAATTCTTCTTTGTTTGAATGGCCAAAGGCATGTTACAGAGGTGTATGTATATACGTTGGTATTTGCAGTACTGGTCCCGTTATTCTTGATTAGCCACATTGTTAGTGATTGGGACTTCATGATTAAAAACAGATCAAAAAAAAAAAAAAAAGAATTTGGGTGCCTTTGACTTCAGTTCTCCTTAGTAACCCCTCTAGCTGTGCCCCTGCTCTGCTGGGACTCTGCAAGCATGTATATGTTTCAATTCATAGAAGGGCTGAAGAATAGTGCTGGATAGCATGCGAAAGTAAGTTCTTTGTAGAAGAAATAGGTGAAGGCTTGCGTTCTGAAGATCTTGCTATCTGAATTCACACGAGGCTATCAGAACAGAAAAAGGATGCGTGCAGATCAAGTGGTGGGAAACGCTTGTGGTGTGAGCAAGATTGTTGTGTTTGGATAGGTGTGAGTGTCGTCGTGATTGTATAGAAAGAGCCACGTGAGCTATGTGAGCAAAACAGTGAAGCATTTAGTTCTGTAGAGGCTTGAATGAGCAAATAATCCATTCTTCCCGCATGAAAGGGAACTCATCTTTAACCTTCGGTTTCGCCCAAAGGGTGATGTATACAGGATTCCATGGCTGAAAGTGCTGCCTGGCAGGCAACCTGCTCAGGAAGGTTTTAGCGACCCTGGGCTGTGCATGCTTTTTCCTGGCCTTGGCGTGTTTCTCAGTGGTAAGGTTTAAGTTGTATTAACTTTGGGCTCTCTTTCACTTTTCTGCAGAGGTCATACGGACACGGCTGCGAGAAGAAGGCACTAAATACAAGACTTTAATTCAGACAGCACGTCTCGTAGCACGTGAGGAAGGCTATCTTGCTTTCTATAGAGGACTCTTTGCCCAACTCATCCGGCAGATACCAAACACAGCCATTGTGTTGTCCACCTACGAGTTAATTGTGTATTTGTTAGAAGACCATGCAAAGTAGCAGAGCCAGGACTACTGTTACGGACTGTAGACCAATTTCTTCATTGACAAATAGTCCTTTAAGAGACTGATGCAGGCAGCAGCGCTGACGAAAACCTATGAGTCTCTGATCACCTGCTGGATATTTTCCTTTTGGATTCATGCTTTCTGAAAGGTCTCAACTCATTAACGTTAATAGTTAATTATAACTTTTTTTAACTTAATGATAAAAATTAAACGGCTACTAAATTAAATTACACTATTTAATTTAAGTATATGTTTGTCCTATTCCTTAAGCACAGCCATACGTGGTCAAGGAATGTACCTTGTACTATCAAGTGATCTCTCGGACTGATGTTCATTAAAACTGTATTAAAACAGAAGAGGAACTGGTTTGGAAATTTGAAACTCGGGCTTCCTACCACTGGTGTCCTGTCACTTTTTAGCACTCTGACAGCCTAATGCCCAGATAACTTATGGGAGTTCTTCACCGTCTATTCAAGGTGCATCATATTCATTGCTATAGGAATTTCCTGGGGTGTCCAAGTGGGACAACTTTATAACGCTTCTCTGGTTTGAAGTGTTCACATCAGAATCTCTTAGGAAAGCCACCTGCGCTGGCAACATCACTGAAATACAATTGTGGGAGACTCTTCAGTAAAACTTCAATTCCAGTACTGTGTGCACCTATGGACTTGGATACATGTCTGAGTTATTGTGTGTAAATGGATCTGTCATGACCGACTGCTCTATGACGTTGCGTGTGCGAAGGGCTGAGAACGTAAGGACCGTCAATGCTTGTGGCCTGGCAGTCATGCAGAAATTCCATGAGATGCAGTAACTTGGTCATTTATCCTGACCCCTGCCTTTTACTAGTCTTGAGTTTTTGTGTTACGTTTTCATTACACTTCAATGTTAGGGGGGGCGGAGAGTGGGAGGGAGGATCAGATAGGACCCAAACTTTAAGGAGTATGAGTCCAGTTTTGGATTCTGCTTTACAATACAATGCTTGAGAATAAATTGCTCTGGGTTTGATATCCTTTTGTGGAGCAGTGCTTCTGGTGGGAATGAGATGTTATCTCACGGACACTGGAGATAAGCCACTGGAGTTAAAACAAGCACCAAAAAAATCCACATCTTCTGTAAATAGTTTCCTTATTTCATTACTGGCTTTAATATTGAAGGAAATAAGAAGGACCTGCTGGTCTAGTGCAGAACAGCTCCTGTATTTGTTTCTCATACAGTATCTGCCTTCTCCTCCACAGACACGGTATCGAAAGGGTATTCCTCAGCAGTAGTCGTGATACAGTTCTTACCTTTTAGCTATAGATTAAATACTTGAGATAATTAGTCATTTCATAAACATTAAAACGTGCTTCTTATTTTAGTAGCTTCCTTTACCGCTCATATTGCAACAGTACCTTGTCATGAACGTATTGCCTACATATAATTCCTGATAGTGCTGGAGTAAAATATTTTAGAACTTTAATGGTTAGATTTGTGCTTTGCTTTGGCCATGCTATGCTCTCCTATTCATTAGTGTCATTTGCTTTGACAGCTGAGACAAACGCTCCAACATTTGAGCCCAGCTTCAGTCTTCCCTGCTGTTGAACTGAACAATAAGCTTCTCATGACTTTGAGCAGGTGTTGAGTTCTTGAGCATAAACAAGTATTTATGGACATCTTTGACTTCAAGAAGCATACACAGCGGAGGTGGTGTTTGGACCCGGAAGGATCATGCAAAGCGTTAGGAAGCAGCCTAGTAGTGAGTAGGGCTCTCTTTTACAAGAGAAAGTTTTCAGGCTAGTATTTTGTTGTAGAAATGTAATGGGTTGATAATTGGATTCAAACCTTCACGTTATTTTCATTAGAACCTAGCTGTGACTGGTACTTGGTGTCAAATATGACATCAGTGTGATGGAGGAGCACAGTGCAAAGAGGGAGTAGGGAGTGTGTGTGTATACCTCATAATGAGGCAAAACAGCGCAAAAAATAACTAACTGATTTCGACAGTGTCTCACCAAAAAGAAGAGAACATAACACTTTACCCTTAAGCTAAAATAAGCAACAGTTGAGTAACTAAAAACTGGCATGATTTTTTTTTAAATAGACATGATGAGCAGCAAAAGCTTTAAAGTGTCTTTATAGGAGTCAGAAATTGTCATACAGTGCTGGTTCTATTTTTGAGAACGAGGCCACTTGTGCTGGTGCTTTGCAACTTTTTCTGAGATTTGCTTTCTTAAATTAGTATTTTCTCTGTACTTAAAATAGTATGGAGGGGAGGGAACTGAATGACCCTTCTGAAGAGTTTAGGACTTGGTAAGAAAGCAGATTTTTGCACCAGTTGAACCCAGTGGAAAAATCAAGAATTCAGATGTATTTTTATGTGCTTTGAGCTTTGCTACCCGCCCTGACAATCTTAATTTGATGGGGGTTTGATATGCTATATTGGGAGCCAACAGCATTTTTGAATTAGTATAATTTATTCCCCTCTCCTCCTCTCCACCAGTATCCTAAAAATTCACTAACTCTTAATTCCTTAACCCTGCAAAGAGTTAACACATTTAGCTGATGTTCTTGTGAGCTGTCCCATTGATGTCACTGAGACAGAATAAGCCTGTTACCAGAGGGAAGGTAGGGGAATAGGTTTTCCAATGGGATAGCTGAATTTAAAAATAACCAACCTCTCTCTGGTTTTGAAAAAAAGATTTCAAGCACTTTTCACTGTCCGTGCCATTTATACAACTTCAACAGAAAGTCAGTTTCCTGGGAAGTAGATTAACTGGTCACTTGTTAAGTTCTCCTGGACAGTTACCCTCCAAGTTTGGCCTTCACTTCTAGGTTCTTTGCAAGCTAGTTCTCAGGTGACTGATGAAAGCTTAGTCTAATCTGAAGTGATCACAAACTTTCCCTAACTTTTCCAGGACCAAGTCTGCTCCTGTTAATAAATGAATGTTTAAATTCACATTACAGATTATTGTTGTTAAAATATGTTGAGCTATTCGTGTTGGCTAATTTAGCTTTGGAAGTATTTCTTAGTACTTCTCATTTGAAGATGTCGATAGTATCTTTTTGAGTCCCCTCACTAGAGAGCTTAACAGAGCTTCCCTTTGCTGTCCATGATTGCCTTCATATCCCTCCAAATTATCGGCATCTACTGACTGCTGTGATATTTGCGTTGTGATGGCTCCCCTCACCAGGATTTATAGTTGTTTTGTACAAGTTTCACATTGGTTCCTTTGAGTAGGAAACTTTCGGTAAACAGTAATGCATCTATGGTTGGACCGATACTCCAGGCACAGTTGTTAGGAAGAGAGGGAGTGATTAAGTAGATAAAACAGACAAGCTTTCAAGTACCCCAGTTTTAGAGGGCCTGTAGAACGGCTTGGTGTGCCAGATGACTGCGGCGTTCTTCCTTTCCCTATCATTTGGTCTCATAAAATAACCTTTAAATAATTGAGCCTAACGGTGGAGGAAATAAATGGAAAATTTGTGTTCCGATTCCTTTACTCAAGAGGAAATGATCACTGTTATTTTATGTAACTCTTTTCCACGGTTAAATCTGTGGAGCCTGGAGATAGGACAGTTAGGACCCCAACCACACTTGAGACGATTGCTGTAGCTTAAACAGGACTCCATAGTCAGTTTGGGCTTGTTAAAACATGATGTTGAGACAACTTGGTGCCCCTGAATTTTAAGCCATGTCTATGATGCTGAGGGTTTTTTGCTTTTGTTTTTTACCAGGAAAACAACTATGCAATTTGAGGCAGGGTCAGTCTCATATTTTGGAGAGGGCTTACCTCTTACCTTCACACAAAAGCAGGCACGCATGTCAAACGGCCAGCAGCTTCCAGTTCTGTAGGAGTAGTGAATCCCCTCAGCGTGTGCCCAGAGTGGTAGAGCGTAAACAGGTAAGCATTGCTTTGTTTTCTAGGGGAGAGCCTCTAGGCAAGCCGGACCTGGGAACTACTCAGAGTGGAGACTTGATAGCTTTCTGCAGAAAAGTATCCGTGTTATCCATGTAATTAGGGAGAGTGAAAGTGTAGTGCCGCAGCCCCTCGACCTGTGAGCCAGGTAGCAAACTGCCCCGAAGCCCTCCACTGTAATTCATGCTCCACTTGACATAACTACCCCTTGGCTGAAGTGAGGCGTTACCTGCAGCACGTGGCTCACTGGGTAGGGCTGATCAGGGACCACAAAAGGGTCCTGCTCTAAAACCGGGGGGAAGGCCCTTCCACTTTTCCCAGTTAACCGGGCAGCACCAGTATCACAAAAGCAATACTAGGGCATTGCCTCCTGCTACAGCATCTCTCTGCTTGGAACTGGTTCGTATTTTGCTGCCTCTTGCTCAAACGCGGCTGCCTTTCAGTTTGGTCATCCCCCCGCCACCACCGTTGCTTGAAGACTTGCGTTCGCTTCACTTGCCAGTCCGCTACCTTCTTGTAGCGGGGGTCCGACAGACGGCGTACCTGCATGTGTCCGAAACCCTCCTCCGTTTGCCAGAGCGGTCCGGGGGGGGGCGAGGGGGGACGCCTCGGGGTAGAGACGTGCTCGGAGCGGCCCTTCGCAGGCCGCTT